AGCTGACCACTGTACCCAGGCTGCAAAAAGGACAAATGGCCTCAGCTGCTTTGCATCACTGAAGGTCAAAGGTCAGCCTTTTTGACAGCGTTATCCTCGTGATTTCTCCATTCTGGAAGCAAAAGCAACCTGACAGGGCTTGTTGTTACAGAGAGAGCAGAGATTTTGAATTCCCCGGAGATGCGGGTGATGATCAAACAGGATCTGAGCTCATCCAACTTGCCTGGGAGGTTTGGCAATCATTCTGCCAGGGCTCTGGCTGACGATTTCATCACCCTACTCCCGAAAGCACAGTTGCCTGCTCACAGACTGGTACAGCCCTGTTGCATTTGCCGGTGGAGGGTCATTGTCCTCACCATGATCTCAGTGGTCTGACCTAAAACCTCCCAGGACTGGAATCTCAGGGGCAGTTTTGCCATTCTGAGCTGACCCCTTCCCTTCCTTTGAACCTTTCCCTCCTTTAATATTTCTTCCCTCGTACTTTCAAAATGGGGAGAGCCATAATTCATTCTTTTGATTTTTATTGCTGGTTTCAACAAAACAAACTCCTAAAGAAAAACCACAAATGGTTTGCTTCTCCTAACTCTTTGGAAAAGACTCCTTCAACATTCCAAGCTATTTTTATTTGGAGGCTTCTATTTATAACCCAGCAAGGGCTCTTAGCTGGGTCTTAGCTTCCCTTGTTTCTGATCTGAAATGTAATAAGCAACAATGCTGTCTTGGGTTTCTCTGGCTCAACAACTGTGCCAAGGCCTGCCCTGTGCATTTGTTGCTGTTGTTAGTCGCAAAGTCCATCGCGACCCCATGGACAACACTCCTCCAGGCCTTCCTGTCCTCCACCATCCCCCAGAGTCCACCTAAGCTCACGCCGACTGCTTCAGTGGCTCCATCCAGCCACCTCATTCTCTGCCCTCCCCTTCTTCTCTTGCCGTCAGCTCTGTGCATCACTTCCATACTTTTCCAACAATCAGCTGTCAGGTTCTATTAGGAGTGAAAAGGTTGGTTGTTTGGAACAATGAGCTGCTGGCTGCATCCAATGAATTGGAATCAAAATGTGAAACAAATTACAGTGAGACCGTGGAGGAAGTGTTAGGTCAAGATTCTGAGATGGAGGAGGAGGAGGTGGTTATCTCAGGCCAGATGCTCACCAAGCCAGGCAGTTTCTGGAAACAACCAAGATGTCCAGCCAGTGTGAGGGATCTCTGAGGAATCAGACCAGCCCCCCTCCCCCAGCCCCATGGCAAGGTGTCAGCAGAAGCAGGAGGCCAAACTGAATTAGCAGCATACAGCGAGGAGACGTGCTCGCTTTCAGAAAGCCCCTCCCAAAGGCATGGGGTCCAGGCATATTCATACATGGAGCTCCTGGAGATAAACACTCAATTGGGTTCAACAAACTGCTCTGTGCGTGCTCAGAAATCTGTTCTGGGTGATTTGTACTTGGAGGCCATAAAGAAGGTTTTCAAGGAAATTGATCTGTGACTTGTGATTGCGCAAAAGAGGAAACTCAGCGCACAACAATCAATGCATTTATGACTGCGGCAACAACCCTTGGGGGTGCTGGGAACTGTAGTCAAGCAAATCTGAGGGGATAACCAGTTGGGGAAGACTGTTTTATGCCTTCCGGCAAAATCCACAAATATGGGATTATTGGTGTGAGGAAATACATTTCTCAGGGTGCTGGCTGACTTTTTTCCCCAGGAGGAGCTCTTTCCCTGTGATAATGCAACCATTCTGATGTTAACCTATATTCGTGAAGGTTGTAACCATTGAAATGGGGTTGGAAAACCTGACATTTTAAACAGTTTACCTGGAATCATCATTATGAATTCTCCAAATCATAGTTATCAGAAGTGTAATCCTCCCAAAAACCATTTCTCCAAATGCTAAGTATGTCTCAGTTGGAACAGATTTAAAACACCTTGTGGCACAAGTGACTGAGGCTGCCAGTAACCTTCCAAACAGAGATCCTGTGGAGGGAAACATCAGTTGTCTACATGACTTGCCCCAGAGTGTGAAGAGGGGAAACTGAGGAATAGCCAGGAAACTTCTCTTCCTTTCCCTGGAACGCCCACAAAAGCAACCCTCAAAGCTGTAAGGGCCAGGATGTGGTGGTGGCTGGACAGGCAGAACACTGGGGCCAGGGTGCTGGTGCGAAGCCAGGCCCTGCAGCTTAGAAGGGCTAGAGGCTGGTGGCGTGGTCAGCAGTCCAGGGTCAGGCAAGGTAGCAGGCAGTCCAATGCACAGGTGAGAGAGAGAGCGTGGTCCAGAAACAGTCCAATGGTTTTATGCCAGGGAAGCAGCCACATAAAGGTGGTCCAGACAAGAGGGGGCTGGAGCGGGGCAGGGACAACTGGAGCCAGCAAGAGCACACAGGAGCAGAACCAGAGCAGACTAGGCCATGCAGGACCAAACAGGAGCGAGGCAGGAACAGACTGGGACAAGGCAGGGACTAACCAGAGCAAGGCAGGAGCACCTGAAGCAAGCAAGAATAGACTGGAGTACACTGGAGCAAGGCAGGAGCAACTGGAGCAGGGCTGGAGCAAGGCAGGGTCGGCTGGAGCAGGGCTGGAGCAAGGCAGGAGCAACTGGAGCAGGGCTGGAGCAAGGCAGGGACGGCTGGAGCAGGGCTCAGAGATGCATGGCCCAGAGCACAAGGAGTCACCAGGACAACTTGCATTGCCGGGGCAAAGAACCGCAGGGCCAGGAAGCCTTTTATGCTGCTCTTCAGGACCTCCGGCTGCACTGCATGGTTGCTCTTCAGTTGCTCCCTGCAGAAGCCTGCAGGGGTAGCCCTGGCTCCACAGGCACCTGCAGGGTCACTCAGGCCCTGATCTTGACAAAAGATCACTTTTTCCTCCTCAGAGACACAACCAGCACTGTCCCTCCTATGCCAGCTGGAAAGTCTGGAGAATCATAAAATAGTAGAGTTGGAAGGGGCCATGAAGGCCATCAAGTCAAACCCGCTGCTGTTGCAAGATTACCCCATCCCCCTCAGATGGCTGTCTGGTTTCTTTTTTGAATGTTGCTAGTGTGGGAATGCCCACAACCTCTCTGGGCAACAGGTTCCACTGTCACATTGCTCTGACAGTGAGGAACTTTTCCTGACGCCTAGCCTGAATCTGAGGTGTCACAACTTGAGCTGATTTTTCCGTGCCCTACACTCTGGTATCACCAAGAAGAGAGCTTGTCCTTCCTCTTCACAACAGCCTTTCAGGTACTTACAGAGGGATATCATGTCTCCTCCCACTCCCCACCAGTCTTCTCTTCTCCAGGCTGCACATGCCTGGTTCTCTCAGTCTTTCCTCACAGGGCAGTGTTTCCAAACCATGGATCATTTTTGTCACCCTCCTCTGGACCCTTTCTATTTTTTCTGCATCATTCATAAATCTTGGTGCCCAGAACTGGACACAGCATTCCAGATGAGGTCCAACTAGTGAGGAGTATAGGAGAACTACTACTTTTCATGATTTGGAAGTAATACTTCTATTAATGTGCCCCCAAAGTACCATTTTCCCTTTTTTGTAACTGCATCTCATTTTTGGCTCATATTACTCTAAGGTACTTTTCTTTTTCAGTTCTGTTGAGCCACGTATTCCTCATCTTATATTTGATTTCTTTTTCTGGGGTGGAAGGCTTGGCTCTTGTCCCTGCTGAATCTCATTCTGTTGTTTTCAGTCCAGCATGCACATTTAATCAAGGTCACCCTGGATCTTAATTTGCTATTCCATCTAGTTTTGTATCATTTGCAAATCTGATCACCTTTCCTTGTATTTCCTCATCTAAATCATTAATAAAGATGTTGAAAAGCATGGGCCCAGGACTGAGCCCTGTGGCATCCCACTAGGTACATCCTTCCAGTTAGAGAAGATGCTTCGGTTCCATCCTTGGACTGAGTTGTCAGAGTTAGATCTGGGATTCCTCAGTCTCCTGTGGTCACCTAGACCGTGTCTAGAGGCCATAGGACGGCACCTTTAAGTAAGTTCTGAAGAAACTGGATTATTCATTGTGTCAAACATGTTTGCAAGCTAGGCAAAGGGACTGAGATAAAACAGCAAAGAGAGGACAGTTCTTTTTAGAAAGGTTTATTTTAACCACTTAGGTATAAAAAGTATACAAAACTATGCACAACACTTTGCTCAAAAACATTTATAGAAAATTTATAGACTTTCCTTTGCAAATAGGTTACCCCTTTAGTATAAAACACAACAGATTTTAAAAGGGTGCAATCCAGTGCAGTTTAGACATGGCTTCCCAGGGAATGCTGCAGGTCCCCCGCCGCCCCCCCCCCCCATGTAAACTGGCTTAGCAATATCCCTGAGTGTGAGGTGCCCCCATGATGAAATATCCACACACAAGCATGTTAAAAAACTGTCCGGGAAGAAAACAAAATATGTTTATTGGCATATATAAATATATATATATTTATTTACTCTAGGTAATCTTCAAAACCCCATAGATTATCAGCTCAAGTAAAAACAAGGGCACTGCTAAGGGTGCAAAATCCCAGGAGGGGGAGGGGAACACTTTATAAATGTGTACTTGGGAGCAAAATCCCGGGGGGAAAATACAGCAGGAACTTATAGCTGCTGCAGCCTCGCTCCAATGTAGAAAGTGGAAGAAAACCTGTCCATCTCACTCCATACTGACAAAGCCTCTGCACCATTCTCCCTTAGGCTTAGTAGTCTGGAGCTTATGGAGAAACTCACAACCTAAAAATCTAACTATCCTAAGTGTGAGAGGTCAAGTGATCCCTTAGTCGTCAAAATGCACGCAACGCACAGGTACTCAACCCTACCAAACATCCCTTCCCAAATCATCCCTTCCCAAATCCCCATTGAATATTGTGTTCCACACTGAATAGAATACAGCGGTACCTCGGGTCACGAACTTAATCTGTTCCCCTACTCTGGTCGCAACCCAAATTGGTTGCGAGCCAAGTCAAATTTCCCCATAAGGTTCAATGTAAATAAGGTTAATCTGTTCTGTAAATATTTTTTAAATCACAAAAATCTGAAACAAAGTAACAAAGAACAACAAAATAGCAAAGTACAGTACAGTAGAGAACACTAACCTAGGTGGGCAGGGGGAAGGTTTCTGTTTGGAGGAAGAGTCCAAATGATAATTGTGCAATAGCGATTGTGCTCGGGGGGCGATGGCTGCGATTGCGATCGTGTTCGTGCGGCAACATGGCTGCGATTGTGGTCATCACCCAATGTGGAATTCGTGAACTGAGGCAAAATGTTTCTGAAATTTCAGTTCGCGGCCCAATTTGGTCCTGAACTGAGGCATTTGTGAGCCGAGGTACCACTGTATCTCCATTCTTGCAGAGACAATTAATATATCCCAGCTCACTGCAATCTGCCTGATTTGTCACAGCAGCAGTCAAACTAACCTATGTGGAGCGGCATAAGGGGACAGGCCTGTGGGGGACCTTGCTACCTGACTGCGAGGGGCCCTGGTGACAAAGCATCAACCCTAGCCCTAACCCTTAAGAGATCAGGTGAGTTTGACAACAGGGCCAGGACCCTGGGACAGAGATCTCAAAGTAACAGTAAAAGGTAAATTAATAACTCCAAATTATTTCCCTCCCTTCTCTTAATAATTAATTAATAAATAAATAAATACAATGAAACAAAACAAATCTAATAACAACTATTAAACCATAGCCATTATAAATGTAGAAAGCCAGCATGTAGTCCCTTAGCAAGGCAGCACATAACAGCAGCAACATAAATGAGCCCAGACCGAGCCTCCTTCCTGCTGCAGACAACGGTGCGTCTACCCAGAGCCTTCCTTGATCTTCTGGACTGGACAGATTCCTTTACAATTCCCTTGGACCTCTGTTTCAGATGCCTCTACCTGACCTGGATGCTAGGCACAGGAAATGGTACAGCTTGACTCATGTACTCTGATGTTACCACAGTCTAGACTTAGCACTTGGCACATTTCCTTATTGTAAGGAAAGCGAAGTCGCATGCCAGCTGGGCTGCACAGGTGGATGCCCACCTCTGGCTTCCTGAGAGCCACTCGGAAATCTGGAAAGGGGCAGAATGCTGAGAGGGACCATTTCAATATCATTCTGGGCTAGGGAAACATCCAGAGGATTCACTTGCATTGATTTTACCTTTGGGGCATGAGAGACTGGGAGAAGCAACTCACATCTTTGAGAGGAAGCTGGGAGCAGAAAAGGGAAGGAGGCAGTGGGAGGAAAAACTGGATTCCAGTCATTAGCCCTGTTAGCCCAGTGCTCATGCTGAGGTTGACATTACCACCACACTAGGGCTGCAACCCTAGTGTGAAAAGTTTGAAAATAGACTTTATATTATTAATTATTATTATTAATTATTAATTATTATTACTATTATTATTTACAGCCCATTAGCATTGATGCAGTACAATAAAAACAATATAAAATATAAAATATAAATAGCAATATAAACGTAACAACATTTCTCTGTAAATTTAAGGCCCAATTTGGACAAAAGTGGTTCATATCTAAAACAGTACCCACCCCCTCGAGGGTTACTTGGAGCACTTGACTGTCTCAGCAGAGAAGTCAGTCTCAGGCTGGCAGTGAAAGGATAGCGAGGCTGGCGCTAGTTCTGGGCTTCAGCAGGGAGGTCATTCCACAACATGGGGGCTGCCGCAGAGAAGGCCTCGGAGGTGGTGTTTGGAGGAAGGCCTGAATGTTGAGCACAGTGCCCACACAGACTGACAGTGCTCGGAGGGGCGGTTCTTCAAGTATTGTGGCCCTGAGCCGTGCCAATTTTTCTGCCTTCCTTAAAACCAGGGCCTCGAATCAGGCTCAGAAGCATAGAGGCACCCAGGGCCAGCATTGCTTCCAGTTCTTAATCTGGCGGCTGCATTTTGCACAAGCTGCCACTTCTGAAAGGTCTCCAAGGGCAGCTCCACACACTGCAGTAGTCCGGCCAGTAGTCTAACTTGGTGTGTGTGTGTGTGTGTGTGTTGTTACTGATTTCTATATTAAAGAGCCAACCCAGCCTAATGAGGACTTCCATTAGAAAGCCTTTTATCTGTGCCTGCTTGGAAGGAGGAGCCAATCAACCAGCTCTCAGAGCTAGCGCTGGGCAAGTAAGCTAATCCTCTGCTGGGGTCCCTTCAAGTCCAAAACAGATGAACTTGCCGTTACGCGTTGCATTTACCCAGACCCAGAGCAACAAGCGGGATGACTTCGGCGTACTTTCTCAGCACCTGGCAGCCCTGCTGCTTCTTGGCAAAGTTGTTTGTGCCTGAGCTGTGGCCGTAAGTCACGTCCACGTGGCTGACTTTGTACTTGGCACACAGCAGGCATGTGAGGTTGGCCAGGAGCCCCCGTGTGGTGTTGGTGGTGTTCCTGAGGAGCTTCAGCAGGTCCTCTTTGTCATTGCCCAGTTCTCGCTGATCCTTGGTGATGTTGCCCAGCGAGGCGTTGAAGAAGGCGCAGATCTTGTACAGTGCTATCAGCTTTTCTTTTTCCTCGCTGGTCCGATTGTCAAAGGAAGGGAAGCTGCGGTCAGGCTGGCAAAACACATTCAGCTCCTCCTTGTTGGTGAATGGGTTGCCTTGGTGTTTCAGCTGATTCAAAGAGAAATGGAGAACTGTTAACAAGTGTCGGCACACGCATCGGTTTTCCAATGCAGGGTCTATGTGGGATAAGGGTTCCATGTCTTCCCTCTTCTCAGTTAATTTCTGACTTTGGGACCTTCCTGTCTCTCAACCCACATCGCACAGACTTTCCAAAGTGGGGACCTTGGGAAATTAAACACTCTGTATGTGGGGAAGTACTTTGGGCTCAGGTCTGTCTGATCTTGTTCTGGGCCCTTCCTGTTGAGAGCGTCAACTTGCCATACCCAGAGTCCTATCCAAGAGGCAGGGTTGTCCTTGACCTCTGTGGTTCAGGTCCTCTTCTCAACCTCACCCCCCTTCTCATGACCAACAGCCTCAGCTCCTTCCACTGTTCAATGAGCAGCAAGAAGTTGCTTAGATCTGAAGGCCAAAACTCTATGCCCCTGGAGTTTCCAAGTCCGTGACAAAGTTGGATCAGCTCTCTTTACGGTGGCTGAGTAAGCCAGGCCTTCCCTTGTCATGGGGACATCTGAAATTGGCTCTTATCCTTCTCTTGTCTTCAGGAATTGGTGCTAGTCCCTTACTTTGGTGTAGAATGCCAGGGAATTGACCCTAAGAGACATTCTGGTCTCCTTTTCTAGATCCCCTTCATGCCATGAGCTATATGATTTCTGAAGACTTATGCCGCGGGATTTTCTATTATTTAGAGAAACTATTTTATGCATGTTTTTAAAGGGTTGATTTGCACTGAGGCATATAAAGTGGACATGTCCTATAGTGGCTTGTTTTGCTTGGTAGTCAATGATTGCATTAAATTTTGCATCTGGGATAATGCTAGATGTCCACACACTTTCAAATAATATTTCTGGGAAGTGAAGATTCATGCATAGACAGAAGTGGACTTCAAGAGACACACATGCCAAACTTGGAAGGAGAAACATCATCCACTTGTCAGTGGACTGAACTTCGCACAGCTCCGGCTACATTTGAGCATCTCTCCTCCAGCTTTCAATTTCTTATGGAAGCTTGTTTAGCTATATCAATTGCTTCTATGTCTATATATAGCCGAAATTGCACCAGAACAACTTCCTGGGAAATGAGAATTCTGGGAACTTTCTCTTATTTTATATTGGTCTTAAGCAAACGGGGCATAAATTTCTGCTGAGACAACTGAACTCAGAGAGAAGGCCTTAGAACAAACATCTTGTGACCTTAGTTTTGTATTCCTCATTAACCCTTGAGAGTTTCAATATCCTCTGACCTGATACACTTCGCTTCAAGTTCATCTCCTTTTTCATGTCCCAGAGAGTACAAAACCTGCACAGATCCCCAAATAACCATTAGGGGTGGCAGAGGTACACAACCAGAACATTCCCTTGGAATGTTTCTCCATTCTTCCAACCCTCTATGTGTGTTTAGGCATTTCATGAATCGGGGGCAAGTCATACAACTTGGACACTATGCTCTGCTTTGGAGAGTTGTTGTCACGTGCAAGATAAATTTGAAGCAAATGTTATCGGTCTTGGTCTATTATTTCAGTTGTGCTTGCTTAAAATTCTTCATAGGACAAGGCCACTCTGCCTAGTGTCATTTTTAAGCAAGTCGTGGCAGATCTGACCAATCTTTCCCAAAATCCTTCCCACCAGGAACCTTGCTCAGCGATGAATTTCCAAGTCACCCCTCTTTCTCCAAAAAGTCCTTGAAGCTTTTATCGCTCTGACACCAAAGTTCCTTCAGTCTAGATCAACTCCTTTGAAGGTTTTGCCACTATCAGGATATGCAGTCCTTGCACAGCCCAAATCCAGCAACACGCACTTCTTAGTGCTAAGAGAAAAGAAAATGCTTTCCTTTGATCTGAAACGAATTTCATGTGAAGCACGAACAAAGAGAAGAAGAAATGCTCCCCCTGATAAATTATTTGCTGCCCTGTACAGAGGCCCAGTGCAGTCTGCTCCAGTTACTTCTAAAGGTGGAGCTTCTAGGAGTCCATCTTTGGGTAGGGGAGAAGCGGCTTCTCTTCCTGGTTGGGCTTAATGCCATCCGCATCGTGCCCACCTTGAATGGCAGCCTCTACCAGCTATGCCGCGTTTCCACTGCAGAGCCCCTCTCTTAGCCATGCTGGAGAGTTGTGTCTCCACACATTCCATGCTGACATTGTACCTGTCGTCCTGTGAATTTGTGCATTGGTGGCGGCATCTGGGGAATGCAGCTTATTGATACAAAGCTGATTCCAAATGGAATTTCTCTTTCTTTCCAAAGCAGAGAAGCTGCCTCCACCTTTACATTGCTTCACCTGGAACTTTTGACATTTAGCAGTTGGTCCACCCTCATGTTCTATCATTGGACTAACGATGTTCTCAGTTCATTCCCCAAATGTGAACCTGTCTGGGTCTCGGCCACTGCAGGGCTGATTTCTGGGCCCCACAGCCTTGGCATCTAAACTACAAATTCCAACCCTACCTCTTCTTGCACTGCTGAATCAGAATCCAAGTCCGAATCCCTTGCAGGTTCTTATGGGAAGAATGAGTCCGATCCCTACCCAAGGATCATGACAATCTCCATTGGATTAGCTGGCTTTTTGCCCACATGGGCTTCACCCCCTGCCCCCTGCCTTTGAATCTTTCTGCCTGAGGGCTCTTTGCCTGAAATCAAAGACTCTCTTCTCCCCTGTTCATTTACCTCTTCTTACAAATGGGGTGCCCTTAGGAGACAAGGTCCTTTAAACAGACCCAGGCTTGAGAGCCTGTTTTGTGCATCTTGTTTGCTTCAGTCCCGTGGGACTTGAGCCCCGGATCTTTTCAGCATACAGCACCCCCGCTGTTTCTAGGCTGCAGTCTGTGTGCTTGCGTGTGCAAATATCTGTGCCAGGACTTACATAGACTTCAAAGAGTTCCTGAGCTGATGCATTCAGGCTTGCAACCTGGCACTGGATCTGATGGAGGACCCTGGTTTGATTACTGCATGGCCGGATGTTCTGGCACATGGAGCTCCGCCTGCTCCGCAGCAGCGCTTTCCCGGACACCAGTCTGCAGTGGACGGCCAGTAGCAACGACACCACTCCTGTTTGGAACAAAGAGGAGTAGTGAGAGGGTTTCTCTCCGGTCTGCGAATGCTCTGCCAGGCCAAGAGAAAGAAGGTACCTTCAGGTCAAGGAACTGCAAATATGATGCTGTAACAGCATGAGCAGCTAATTTTGGGGCGGTGGGGGGAGAAACCGTAATGGAAAGTAGCCTGAAAGAACCTGAAAGAGGGGACAGGGGGTGGTGGCAGCTGCAGGCTTTGGGGGCCCTTCTCAATGAGGGCACCCATGGTGGGTGTCGTGTGGTTCTTGGGCGGTTTTTAACTGCCAGTTTCAGTGGTCCTTTTTGGGGACCCAAAGACAATAGACAAACATGGATAAAGATTACAGGGGATGATTAGTGGACTGTAGAAGAGAGATAATAAAGGCAAGGAAGAAACAGAGGCCAGTCTTTCATCTCATCTGCTGTCAGGAGCGCCTCGCAGAAAGACAGCGGGGGGACTCATGGCTAGCATGTGGCACTTCCCACAGCTTGGTTCTGCTCTTAGGAAGATCCCCTAACCCTTTATGGGCTTCTAGAGTCCTCCATAATCATGATTGCTCCCATTAAACTAGGCAGGATTAAGACCTAACTAGTGGGGGAAGCTTCTTAAAGGAGAGCTGTATACACGGTTAAGACAGTCCCATAACAGGGCTCGGCTGGGGTCATCTGGTGTTACATTCCAGTTGTCCAAGGGGCTATCCAGAGGCACCTGACCATATCTACTTCAAAACCCATGTAACCCATGAGGAACAGCTGTCTAATCAATTGAAGTACAACCAAAAGATAACTGAGTGACCTTCCCTGGTCTTGGCTGACACTTAGATTTAATCCAAGACTTTTGGAAAACACTTTGAATTAGCACATTCCTCACGGGGAACTCTAAGCTTCATGAGCTCGTTGCTGCTAGAGATAGACAGCAAGAGCCCTAACGGAGAGGTGAAGAATGGCCATCCACCACAGCCTTCTCGTGGTCGCAGGGGCGTCCTGGCTCCTTCCTATGCATCCTGTCTGGTTTGCATGCCATAATAACCTGCAGCTCAGACTACCTGTCACATGAACTGAAGATGCAAGCAGAACAAGCAGGCTGGCCAGGGGTCCCCCTTCACACCTCTACGGTTGCTTGTGGGTCTTGCCCCACCTGCTCTTTCTCGTCATCACTGCCCTGTGCTTGCTCAGCAGGCAGAAAGCCAAACAGCACCATGGCTCTTCTGCTCTAGTTTCAACACCACCATTGTCTGTGCCAGAGTGGTATGCTGGGTACATGAAGAAAAGGAGACTCTCCATGGGCTCTTGTCACTGCGACCCTGCTAGGCTGTGGGCCCTAGGCAGGTGCCCATCCATGCCAGTCCTTGCCAGTGCCAGTCCTGTGAGGTGGGATGCATTACGTCCGCAGCATGATGCATCCACAGTTCTTGTGCGTAAGAGGTGCAGGACACAGGTGCACAGGCAGGCAAGGAAGCGCCCATCCATTGGCCCCGTGGGCAAAGTGCACTTACGTCTAATATGACGTTTCTGTGCTGTCCAATAGGCAAAGTTCTCTCAGTTAATTCTGAGTATTAAAGCCACGGGGCCACACGTGTTTACAGAGAACCCCATCCCCTGCAATTGCCAGCATTTTCCTGCAAGCCCAAAAGGGAAGTCTGTCTAAGCATGCATAGCATTGCATTTGGGTGTGAAAGCATAAGACATTAAAACTGGGGGCAAATGATACCTTTCACTCCCTGATGCCCATTTTTCCAATCTTAACTGCAGTTCATTCCAAAGCTGGAGTATTTTTCCTCATCTCCACTGCCTCATTTGAAAGAGTCAAGGAAAAAGTACGGCCTTATGACGACATCGCCCAATTCCATTGCAACAAGCAAAGATGAGTTTGTTTGCAAGGATGGAAAGGAGGCCGCAGGCCCGCATCCATGGACCGCACCCAGACACGTGTTTGGCTGTGCATGTTTTGCAAATTGTTTTTTGAGAGTGTTATGCTAATCACACAATATGTAAATGCTTTAAATCAATCAATCAATCAATCAAATAGGCAGGACTGATTCACAGTTTCTTTGGCATCAAACCCAGGCTGGCAACCAGGTGTATACTCCGCGGTGAGCTTTGCTCTGGCCTCAACACATGTGTAGCTGCATTGCTATTCCAACAGTTAAGCGCATGCAGTCCACTTCGGTGTCACCAACACTTCCACCCTTACTGAAACCCAGCATAAGCCATACAGGATTATTGTAATATGGAGTAAATGAGGCTGAGGAACAAATGAGTGAGCTGAACTGGGAGCGGATTATAATCCACCCATCCTGCGGAGTGGGCACCCATGGGGATCTTGCTTGGGCACCTGCCAGAGGCCCAGAACCCCGCAGGTGCCACACGGAGGAGAGCCTTTTGGAGTTGCTGCTCTTCCCTGCTGCAACCTGCTTCTTTACCTGCTTCTCACTCCGGCTGAGACAACAGGGTGACACGAAACAGCGCCGGGATTCCATAGCCTGCTTGCTCCCTGGCTTTCTGCCCACCAAGCAAGCAAGGAAAAGCACATGCAGTCTAGAGCAGCAAGAGGCACCCAGCCAGAGGAGATTTTCTTCCAAATGGGGAAGAACAGATAGGAAATCTTCCCGAGAAAGGAAACCTACCCAGGGGCATGGCATCAGTGGCATCTAAGGGCAAGCCAAGGGGGGCAACATGACATGATGCCCACCTGGGCAGAACAACCCCTCCGGCTCCCCAGCCTCTCCTTTCCAAATACTCATTGGCTGTGTGCTGGACTTGCCTCTGCAGATATGCCTTTCAGACGGCACTGTGCGAAGCAGCTCCTGTTTTGTTTTCATGCTTGCAGTTCCTGGAAACAGCACGCTCTCACATTACACCCCTCCTCCTCTCCCCTGGATCCCTCCCTGCTGTGAACATTCCTCTCCCTCCGGCCACCCACAGCTCGCAGTCTCCCATACTGATTCAGGTGGCCCTGCCTCCCAACGTCACCAGAATTTCCCCTCTCACATCGCCGCATTCCCAGATTCGTAACTGCTGGGCTGAACTTGCTCTGATATGCAAAGCAGTGCCTAGCAGGAACGTCTCCAGTTCAGCCTCTGAGGAGGGAAGGAACGTGGTGTCTTCTCCTATTGCTGTCCAGACTTTTTGCTATTCTGGGATTTGGTCCACGCCGTCTGTAGCCTGGGATTGTCTGTGCTGATTGGCAGTGGCTGCCTACAAGGAGTCTTTCCCAGCCCCCTGGAGATGGAAACTGGGACCTTCTGCCTGCACTTTCTCAGCTAAGCCCTTCCCCTAGAAAGGAAGGCACCTGGCACCTGCAGTGACTAATAGGAAGTCACCCTTTCCTATTCCTTTGAGCACCACAACTACCAAGCTGAGAACGCAGTGAGGGATGCACTGAGACAGGGGAGATGCAGGAATGCCAGGCCTTCTGGTTTGGAGAGGTTTGGGGTGTGGGATGGAGTGGAGGACAGGGCAAGAGGATGGGAAGAAGAAAACTTAGCAAGGAGAGACAAGCAAGGCAAACAGTGGGAATCTTTTCAAGTAGTTCTTACAAATCTTGTCTTGCTTGTTCTTACTGCCAATAACCCAGTTCAGGAAAGCAGAGTAATAAAATACGTACCTTGTAACCCTTATTTAGCATAACACAAATTTAGATAAATCTGAGCCAGAGGGAACAAAATCTAAAAGTCCAAAATAGGTAAAGTTGGATAATTTCTTATGGAGGACCCGAAACACACCTTCCTCCATTCTGTTTTGGGTTTCTCTGTGTGCTCAGATGAATACAGTCTTCAAGCAGAGCTGGTTCATCCCAGCTGCTTTGGAAACATTTAGGTTTCCCAGATGCTGACTTTGAATAAATACATGCACCTAATTGAGCTCCACTTCCTAGCATTTGTCAGCAGAAGTTCTTGCAGGCTGCCCAAATGCTTGCATGAGAAGCGAAAAGAAGGCGCTGCATTAAAGATGAGCTGAGTGACACTCTGAGCTTATAAGCACAGAGCTACCTGTGAAGAAGGCAGAAATCAAGATTCAGAGAAAGGTGTTTACCTGCTAGGACGGCCTTCTCTATAAGTTGCATGCCTGGATGACGTAACAGAGATGGGTGTTGGTACTCCCGGGTGTACATTCAAAAAGTGGTGTTTATGCTAGGGGATGTCAAATGGTTTATATACTGTTGAAGCAAGAAAGGAGTGTCAAGTGACTCGCTGAAATACTGAGATCATGGGGGTGCCCACTCCACCCCCCCCCACACCAAAGGTCTTACAAAAATTTAGATTTATCTAAGAAGCAGCCCACATCTGTATAATTGACATCATAGGGGCCGTCCCTACTTTTGAATCAAGAATCAATTCCAAAGTAACCAAACGTTTCCAAGGGGTGGGCAGTTTAACGAAAAAGACCAGAAAAGCCCCAATACACAGCATCATTTGGAAACTCTCAGGGGAAGAATCAGTAAAAGGAGGAGTTCAGTGGCAAGAAATGAAAGCAAGAAACTGTGTGTGTGTGGCCGTGGGTGGGGGGGGGGGGAGGTTCTCACGACAAGACAAGCAACGGTGGTTTCCTTACCTCATCTCTGCCTGCTATGTTATCCAAACCCCTTTGTGGTATTTCAGCATAGCACGTCTGGTTTTGAGAAACCACGAACTGTAACAACGGTCCGCTCCCTGATTTATCTGTTCCACAACTCCTCCTTGTGCACTTTAGGTGGAACACACAAGCCCGAGTGGTGCTGTGGCCAGAGCCGTGAAGTGTGCGGCCAGAGCACCTGACAGCCACCACGTGGCTGGCCGGCCAGGGTGTCCCCATTCCTCCTGCCCTCGAGAACTGATCTGGGGCAGGAGAGAGTGGCCAGTGTGGCACAGTCGATCCTCCTGCCAGCACTCCTTCATGAGCAGGAGAAGTGAGAATCAGGTGGGCAGCGGGGCCGGGCTGGGGGCTTGCCAATGTGACAGGTGGCAAGGCGCGAGGACAGGGAAAAGAGTTTGGAAACCCCTCTTTGGTAGGGTGAGGGAGGGGGGCCCATGCCATCATGCCCCAGCCGTGCCCAGCTGCCTCTCGCTCCTCCTGCCGTCTCCCTTGCGGCATGTGCCCCCCCCACTGCTTCTCGCCCTGCTGTAACCCCATCCTGCAGCGCTGCCCACCTGATTCCACACCTTTTGCCTGAGTGGGGATCGGGGTACCCTCCCGCTCCGTGACCCCCTCTGGAGCAGGACAGGAGGGTGCCGGCCAGCCTGGCCTCTCTGCTGCACTTCAGGGTGCAAGCTCTGCTTGTGCCACGAAGGCTGCCAGACCACGGTGGCGAGGCCGGCTCATGGTCGCAGCCATCAGTGCGAGCAGCCGCATCCCTCCCTGTGGTGCCTGGAGGACTTGGAGGGAAGACAGCGGTGGACCAGAGGAAAGCTCCCGTGCTGCGCCTGATCGTTTTGCAGGCCCATCCATGCACGACGGAAACCGCGCAGGGTTGCTTGCCCTGACCTGTGAACCAGAGTGTAAGAGAGGGAGGACAGAAAAGCCTTTATTGCCCCCTGGTGGTTGCTTTGGAATTGCCACAAAACATAGGCAACAAAACTGACATTTGTTGAAATAGCACGACTGCTATTTCTTTAATTGGTGGTTTTAGAACAGGAGCTTTTGAAGAAGTTTGAGAAGGCTTGCAGTTTGTTAAGTACTTTGTTAAATCTTAATTGTTCAGGTTGTCGTTAAGATCGTCTTTTTAACGTCTTGTTGGAGTCATACGAAAGATCGGCAAATGTGCCTGTAAGATAAAGGTCAATTCCCTTAGGGGCAGCTCGATCCCTGGCGCACAGTGAAGAGCTGAACTCCAGAATTCGCTTCCAGGGGATAGTGTGGTGGCCAGGAATTTGGATGGCTTGGAAGGGGAGTGGAGAAATTCACGGAGGAAAGCAGGCTGGGTACTAGTACCCATGTACTAGTACTTCACTAATCATGGGTAGTAAAAGGCTCTATGTTACTTTCAGTGTCAGTGGTAACCACCTATACACTGGTTGCTGGGGAACATGGGTGGTCTTGCACTCAGAGGGTGGTCTTGCACTCAGGTCCGATTTGTGAGTTTCCTTTTGACAGCTGTGTGAACGGAATGCTGGCCTAGGTGGCCCTTGAGCTGTTCTTGCAGGGTTTGTCCTCTGGATGTAAATTCTCACAGTAAATGTTGAACTCAGTGGGGCTTATTTCATATAAATGGGTTTAGGGCTGCCACCTTTAAGATGCTGATGATGCATTCTTTTTCCCTGGTCAGCTGGAAACAGAATTGTAATGACGCTTCCTCATTATCATGATCATTATCACATTGCATTTATATCCTAGCCTTTTTCCTCTGGCAAGGACCTCAAGATCCATTTTATCCTAACAACAACCCTGTGAGGTAGGTTGAGCTGAGAGTCTGCAACTAACCCAAAGTTGCCCAGTGAGCCTCATGGCCAAGATAGTTGCCGGGGGTGGGGGGACACTCACTGGCCCCCAGCCCAGCACTCTCACCCCATGCCACACTGACTCTCTACAGTACTCCACAAACTGTGAATTTTTTTGATCAACCACTTCATGGCTGCAATCCTTCTATATTGCTACCTAGAAAGTTGTCTCAAGTTAGTTAAAAGTTTGCTCCTTGAAATTTCTGCCTTCGTAATTATTTCTAATTTAAGATAGTTTTTCTGTCCTTCCTGGTTCACTACAAGTGCCTTCTTCTAAGAAAATGCAATGAATAATAGCTAGGGAGTCTTCCATTTTTCTAGGCAGAGAAATGCAGTGGTGATTTGGCTGAGATTTGCTTAAAAATTGCTCCAGGCAAGCTTCTCATTTCTCCCAGCCTTCCATTCGTTCATTTGAGGAAGACTTTGTGCCTTCCTACTTATTCCTTTCCAAACCATCCAAAAGAGATTCTTCAGCATCAAGAGCAGAGCAGCCTACCTTGATGTGCAGCCTTCCAGATAGATTGGTTGGCATGTCCCATCATCCCCAGTGAGCAAAACTCAGGTTCTTCTGCCATTGCCTGGACTTGCCACATGTCAACTCAGACAGTTCACTTCCAGTCCCGAGCCAGGTCGGTGATTCCACAGTGCCAGCTGGTCAGATGGCATGTCCAGGTTCCTGCTGAATGGAATGAGCAACGGAGTGCCCTTCTCCCAAGCACAGCAAGGCAAAACTGGGAGCCAGTGAAGTTGTATGCATTATATAGTCTGCGGAGCGCTCTACACGCCCTCCCCCCCGCCAGTGGGTGGGGTTGCGAAATGGGCCACCAGCACGCAGTGTCTCTAGATCTTCTGCCCAGCAGAGACGGTTAAAATTGCAACCTCAAAAAGTATTAGAAAAGCCCAAGAGAGATTTCTCTCGGTGTCTGCTAAAACAGGAAGAGCTCAAGCGAGCAGAACAGGCCGGGCCAGAGCCATGAGGTTGCCCATCTGCAGTTACTGGCAGCTGTACAAGAGACAGAGCAGCCGCCGCTCAAACGCGGATCACCGAGTCACTGTCTTCTCCATGTGGCACCAAAGGAGCTATGGCTCTGTGCTCTGGGCCTCTCCTGTCTGATCATGTATCATTAGGGGAATGTATCTGTTTAATTGTCCCTTTCTGTCTGAGATATTTTGCCTATTCATTGCAAATCCTGTCTTCTGCAACAATGCACAGCCATTTAGATAACTGTGCAATGACATGCGTGCAAATGATGCACAGAGTTCTCCCAGTAGCATTTCAATCGCGCAAGGGAGCCAGTGTCGTTCAGGGGTGGTGGGGTTGCATTGGGACTTGGACGATCGGGGCTTTACTCCTCACTTGACCATGAAGCTCTGGGTGGCTTTGGGCCAGCTTTGGTGCTGTACGGTGCCTCGGCTTCCTCATAAGAAGGAAAAAGTCCAGGCAGAAACATCATAATGAACTGAATTCCTTGTCGTGCAGGGTTACGGGGGACCGAGATCAAAGGAGCACGGTCTGGCTCTTGGGTCATTTGTGCTGGTCACTGCAGAGCTCACCACATTCCCCCCCCCCCCGTGTCATGGGTTACGCAGGTAATGGTTGGAAACAGTCAGCTCTTGCCGTGCTGATTCAGAGGTCACTGCTGCAGAGAGGAAATATGATATCACCACTAGATCCTGGGCAAAGGAGAGAGCGCTGTCTCTGCCCAAGAGTTTGTGGGAGGGGGATTTACATGCACAGAGGAACCAGGAAAATCGGGAGGCGCCACTCACCCAACACTCACCGGCTTGGCAACTGAGTGCTGAAGGGGAGGCAGGAGGATTGCGACAGGCTGTGTGCGCTTGTGGGCAGACGCTCCGATTACAGCGTGCAAGTGCATGCATGCACCACTGTGCTCGCCGTCTCACTTGTGGTCAGTCATGGATGCTGGAGATGGAGCAGGGCGCGGGAGCTGACGGGACACCTGGTCGGGGGCGCAAGGATGCAGGGAGCCAGCCAGCCCAAGCCTGTTTCAAACCCGGGGACAGAACGCTGCTTGGCACGAATGCACGTCCTTGAGTGAGCCGGCCTGGCGCATTTTGCCCCACTGGGAGTGACTTTCTGGGGTCTTTGCGCAGTCTGTCCCAGCACCTGGTCATTTTGCTCACCCTTCCCCAAGGCCTGGTGCCTTGCAAATGTGTTGGGACACACAGACGATTCCCATTATCCCCAGCCAGCATGCCCCTTGCTACAAGGTATAGCTGTCTTGAGCACCTTTTTCTTGGTGGAAAGGTAGGCCATGCATTAAATACGGGCATAATCTTGTCCCTGTGTAGTGGAATCCTGCATCTCAGAGCATCAAATTCATGGGGCACTTGCTTCCCACTCAGGATGGTTTAAACTCTTGCCTGCTTGAGTTTGGCCACAATCCTATGCGTGTTTAGATGGGAAAGGAGGCCTTCCATTCCCAGCATGCAGGCTGGGGAATGCTGGAAGTTGTAGGCCTTTTTCTGCCTGAACATTCATATAATTATATCTTGTTAAACTCCCTAACCATATGTATTTATAAGTCACAATAATTGATCAGTCAGAACATTTAATTTTTTTTCCAGAGGAGTGGGAGCAATTTAAAAGAGGGGCAGTGCATGTGCCATTCGCTTCTCTTGCATTCAGCTCTAGTTAGCAGGTGTTGGAAGTTTTTGTATCATTTCTTTCATTTGTGGATAATTCTGGCTGTTAGGGAGAGGATTCTAGTTTTAAGTCCAAATAATTTTTAAAAAACATTTTGTTGATTGCACTGTCGATAGGGCTTGCTTGTTTGTTTTTGTTTTTAATTCTTATTTTTCTTGTTTCCTCAATGGGTAAA